CCGACTGCACCCAGATGGCAAACCGCAGGACGGCTTAAGTCAGATGCCCCTGGAAGCTAAATCTGTTTCTGATTTTCTCTGAATACGAGAAATTCTCATTGTGATGCTTTGCCTTCTCCTTATTGTTAGTGGAAACAACAGTCGTCGTATAACTCAGAAGTTATCCAAGACTTTAACTAATAGAGGCCTTGTCCAGGAAACAGACCCAAAGTCAGTAAGTCTAGACTAGAAAGTGTCTTTTTTCCTCTGCTTATTTTGGTTATGCTTCCAATTTCTCATGCTAAACTTGGATATGTTCGGCCCCCTTGCATAAACGCAAATAGCCTCTGATTCTGAGTGGGATCGTAGGCCGTGGAGGTCATCAGCACCAGCATCCTGCTTTCATTAGGAACCGAGTTTACACTCTGCTTGGATAAGAAACCGTCTTCTTCCAGAAGACTCTGACAGAGTGGCTGGTTTGGGAGTGACCTTCCTGTCAATAAAAGAAAAGGAAGTACAGAAGCTTAGTATAATAGATGAAACAACAGTTCAGAGAGCAGCCAGGACTTGAGGGACAATTCCTAAGAGACAGGAGAACCCTGAGGGGAGCTACCTGTTCACTCTGACGCCATCCCCCAAGGACTTCTAATTCACCTTCCTGGGTATGGAATCTTCACAGAAAACAGCGCCCCCACAGGGCTGACAGGTTGGAGTTAGGGGGTTCCCACAGTATCTGGGATTTGAAGGACAAAAGTCTCAGGAGAAAGGGAATCATGGGGAAATAAACAAAAAATGAGCGTGCAGTCTTCCATTAAAGTCTTTGCCAGCTCCTAAGGTGCACGCCATAAGAGCAGCACTCCTGGAGTCCCTGCAGAAAGAAGCAGCTGGGAGCCTAAGGAGCTGTGCAGCTATTCCAGCAACCATATATAGTGCTAATGAGACAAAGGTCCGTGTTCAGGGCTGGCCAAGGTGGAGGGGTCTTGGGAAACACCCCAGGCTTTAGTTGAAGACCCAGAAGGCCACACCTTCAGACTAAGGGCAAGCTGAAAAAAGTTAGTCCTGACAAAAGTTGAAGCTGGCAGGATTAAAGTGGTCTGACTGCATCCTCTGTACCTGCCAGCATAATGTGTTATATTCTTAAGAGAAAGATAATCTGGATTTTCCAGAACTGCTATAATTTTTAATGCAGAATATTGGTATCTAATCAAAAATTAAGATGCAAGCTAGAAATTGAAACCAAATGACCAAAATGAAGAATAAAAAGAGATGGCAGAAAGAGACTTAAAGGTCATTCAGATATTGGAGTTATCAGTCAGGGACTAACAATACTCAATAATATAGAAGTAAAGAAGGAGGATTTCAACAAAGATACAAAATCTTCTTCAGTTCAGTTCAGTTCACTCTCTCAGTTGTGTCTGACTCTTTTTGACCCCATGAATTGCAGCACGCCAGGTCTGCCTGTCCATCACAAACTCCCGGAGTTTACTCAAACTCATGCCCATCAAGTCGGTGATGCCATCCAGCCATCTCATCCTCTGTCGTCCCCTTCTCCTCCTGCCCCCAATCTTCTTAACCAAGTGGAATTCTGGAAATGAAAAATATAAGAAGTGAAATTAAGAATTCAATACATGGATTTAATAGCAGTTTATAGACTTAAACACACAAAGGATAAAGGATTATTGGAAAAGGATAAAGGATTATTGGGCCAGAAGGAATATTAGTAGAAAAATACACAAATTGAAGACAGAGAGGAAAAATACAGAAAAGAGAATAAAAGATATACAGGACATGGTGAAAACATGTTACATATATGTGTATTTGGAGCTGTAGAAGAGAAGTTTGTGATAGAACCAACATTTTAAAAAATACTGACTGAGGGTTTTTTTTCTAAAAGCATCAGGAGACATAAAGTCACAGATAAGAGAAGCTATCCAGTCCTCATTAGGATAAATACAAAGAGCTACACTGAGGTACATCTGTGGACCTTTGTGAACAAATAGAATGAGCAAACAAACTCAGCTGTATCAGAAATTACATTAAGTATAAATGGACTATATGTACAACTAAAAGCCAAAGATTTTTAAATGGGATAAAATATTAAAATCCATTTATATCTTTTTATGAGAGATAATCTTTAGACAAAGTTTAAGGGCAGAAATTTGAAAGTAAAAATTTTGGAAATAAATACATATGCACCTGTGCGTACAGGCAGAGAACAATCAATAAAGGTATAGAATATTTAGATAGTACTAAATAATCAACTTACTCTGCTTGACAATTGTAAAACATTACACTCATCAACAGCAAAATACTCTTTTTAAAGTGCACATAGATCATTGACAAAAATAATGTGCAGGGCCATAAATCAAGTTTAAATAAATTGCAAGGTTTTGAAATAACATGCATGTTCCCTGACTACAGTGCAAAGTAGAAATCAATAACAGATAAATATAAAATCCAAAAATGTTTGGGAATTAAACAGTATACTTCTATTAATAAATGCCCTTTGGATCAAAGAAAGTATCACAATGGAAATTAAATTTTTTTTTACCCAAATTATAATGAAAATGATATGTAAATGTGTGGGATGCATTTAAAATAGTGCATAGAAGTAAACTTATAGCTTTGTATTTATGTATTAAGAAAGATTGAAATATCTAAACTTCAACCTCAAGAATCTAAATGCAATATGGATTAAAGTCCCCCAAAACCAAAGAAAGTAAAAATAAGAGCAGGAAGGAACAAAATAGAAAAAAGTTAGATGAAGAATTAAGTAAGTAAGTAGATACTGCACAATTGTACTCATCTCACACGCCAGCAAAGCAATGCTCAAAATTCTTCAAGCGGGGTTCAACAGTGTGTGAACTCACCAAGAACTTACAGAAGTTCAAGCTGTATTTAGAAAAGGCAGAGGCCAGCATCCACTGGAGAGAGCTCCAGAAGAAGACCTACTTCTGCTTCATTGGCTGTGCTAAGCCTTTGACTGGGTGGGTCACAGCAAACTGGGAAATTCTTAAAGAGATGGGAATACCAGACTACTTTACCTGCCTCATGAGGCATCTGTGTGCAGGTAAAGAGCAGCACTTAGAACTGGGCATGGAACAATGGACTGGTTCCAGATCGGGAAAGGAGTACGTCAAGGCTGTATTTTGTCTCCCTGCTTGTTTTAACTTATATGCAGAGTACATTATGCAAAATGCCATACTGGATGAAGCACAAGCGGGAATCAAGGTTGCAAGGAAAAATATCAATAACCTCAGATATGCAGATGACACCACCCTTATGGCAGAAAGCAAAGAGGAACTAAAGAGCCTCTTGATGAAGGTGAAAGAGGAGAGTGAGAAAGCTGGCTTAGAACTCAACATTCAAAAAACTAAGATCATGGCATCCAGTCCCATCACTTCATGGCAAATAGATGGGGAAACAATGGAAACAGTGACGGACTTTATTTTTTTGGGCTCCAAAATCACTGCAGATGGTAAACACAGCCAGAAATTAAAAGATGTTTGCTCCTTGGAGGAAAAGCTGTGACAAACTTAGCATATTAAAAAGCAGAGATATCACTTTACCGACAAAGGTCTGTCTAGTCATAACTATGGTTTTTTCCAGTAGTCATGTATGGATGTGAGAGTTGGAACATAAAGAAAGCTTAGTGCTGAAGAATTGATGCTTTTGCACTGTGCTGGAGAAGATTCTTGAGAGTCCTTTGGACAGCAAGGAGATCAATCCAGTCAATCCTAAAGGAAATCAGTCCTGAATATTCATTGGAAGGACTGATGCTGAAGCTGAAACTCCAATACTTTGGCCACCTGATGCGAAGAGCCAACTCATTAGAAAAGATCCTGATGCTGGGAAAGATTGAAGGCAGGAGGAGAAGGGGACAAGAGAGAACAAGATGGTTGGATGGCATCACCGACTCAATGGACATGAGTTTTGAGTAAGCTCCGGGATTCAATGATTCATGCTGTAGTCCATGGAGTCACAAAGAGTCAGACACGACCGAGCAACTGAACTGAACTGAAGATGAAGAAAATCAACAAAATGAAATGGAAAAGATTAATAAAATTGATAAACATCAGTAAGACTGATCAAATACAAAGGGAAAACACAGATGATCAATATCAGGAATGAAAACAGAGGTATTACTACAGATTCTATAGGCATTAAATAGACATTAACACATGTTTAGTCCAAGCATTTAACAGTTTAAAGTGAACATATTCGTTGAAAAATACCACCTTCAAAACTGACATGAAAATGTGTAGAATCTTATGTCTGTGAAAGCAAATCCATGATTTAAAATCTTTACCCACCCCCCACCCCCCAAAAAAAAACCTGAGATGGCTTTTTTGATGACATCTCAGTCCTTTAAGGCAGAAATAATGCCGCACTTGCCTAACATTTCTCAAAGAATAGAACTTTTTCTACTCACTTTTCAGCTCCTTTTATGAAGCCAGCCTAACCTGACGCTGAAATCCAGTTTTAGTATTACAGTGTTCAGCAAGAGAGGTCAGACACAAAAGAGTAAATACTGTTTGGTTCCATTAATGTGAAATTCATTAGTGGGCTAACAAATCAGAGTAATGATTACTCTTGGAGAGGTGAGATACTGACTGGGTGCAGCAGAGAGGAATCTCCTGGGGTGCTGGGATGTTCTGTATCTTTATCTGGATAGTAATTATAAGAGTACTGAATGTACTTTATGTGCACTTTAGTAATAATATTTAAAAAAAAAAGACTAGAAACTTGCTCTGGTTGAACACATAGATATTTCATCCCCACATAGTTTCTTTTATATCTAAATTGAATTCCACATGTGTTGCCTGTGCTCATGTCCTGTTTTGACCGCCTTGGATGAATGGCCACTCTGATGGAGCTGCCTTGCACAGCAGGCAGGCTTTTGCCTTGGGCTTGCTCTTCTTTGAGAATAAGGAAATTACCCTGACCCAGAGGTGACTGTGATGGAGCCTCTAGTTCTTCCCTCACTCTGCTCACTTCATGCAGTGTGGTTTTCTTCACAGGCACGGTGGTTTTGGGAAGCCTACTTCCAGTCAATCAAGGCCATCGCCCTGGCCACCCTGCAGATCATCAATGATCGGATCTATCCATACGCCGCCATCTCCTATGAAGACTGGAACGACCCCCCTGCCGTGGTGAGTAAATGCTGGGGTGAGTGACGTCAGGCATAGGCCAGCAGACAGGACGACGGAACATGTACTGAAATTTGTAAAGGTGACTTAAGTTTGAGCTTTCTAAGATATAAGAGTGTGCTAGAATATGTGGGACCCAATAGGACCAGTTTTGGTCTTCCCTGTTGGCTCAGATGGTAAGGAATCTACCTGCAGTGCGGGCGACCTAGGTTCAATCCCTGGGTTGGGAGGATTCCTTGGAAGAGGGCATGGCCACCCACTCCAGTATTCTTGCCTGGAGAATCCCCATGGACGGAGGAGCCTGGAGGGCTACGGTCCACGGGGTAGAGAAAGAGTAGGACACGACTGAGCAACTCAGCACACACAGCACAGGACCAGTTTGGGCTTCCCGGGTGGCACTAGTGGTAAAGAACCCACCTGCCATTGCAGCAGAGGTAAGAGGCATGGGTTCCATCCATGGATTGGAGAGACCCCCTGTAGGAGGAAATGGCAACCCACTCCAGTATTCTTGCCTGGAGAATCCCATGGACAAGAGAGCCTGGCGGGCTACTGTCCACGGGATAGCGAAAGAGTAGGACACAACTGAAGCGACTTAGCACACACGCACACAGGACCAGTTTAGTTTTGAAATGATGACAAAGTAACAAATACTGAAGCAGCTGCTGCTGCTGCTGCTAAGTCACTTTAGTCGTGTCCGACTCTGTGCGACCCCATAGATGGCAGCCCACCTGGCTCCACCGTCCCCGGGATTCTCCAGGCAAGAACACTGGAGTGGGTTGCCATTTCCTTCTCCAATGCATGAAAGTGAAAAGTGAAAGTGAAGTCTCTCAATCGTGTCCAACTCTTCGGGACCCCATGGACTGCAGCCTACCAGGCTCCTCCGTCCATGGGATTTTCCAGGCAAGAGGACTAGAGTGGGGTGCCATTGCCTTCTCCGACTGAAGCAGCAGTTTGTTTTAAATGTGCTTAGGAAGACAGTGTGTTTGTTTATTGCAGAAATAAATTGGGAGGCCTGGGTCTTGTTGGAAATGGAAGACTTTCTGATGACTTTTACATTGGCAGTGCTTTGAACTCTTGGAAAGATTCTCTAAGCAATTTAGTGATGGCTTATATTTTGAGCACTCCCTCTTGTTCTTTATGCTAACTAAGTGCTTTACATGGATGTCAATTAATCAGACCCCTGATAGGGGACATCAGCGGCAAAAATGATGGAGAGGCATTAGGGATTGCTCAGGTGGCCAGAACCCCTCGGTCCTTCCAGCAGCAAGATGGCATGGTCAGATGCTGCTCTCAGAGCGTCGTCCTTAATTGCAGGAGTCATGAGCCACCTGTGGCCTGGTAGGGACAAGAACCTGAAGCTGTGGGGGGCACAGTCTCTGGTCTGGGGCACACCTGTTGTCTGGCTCACAGACCCCGAGACCTCGGCGTGAAAGAGCTAGACTCCTCTCCGCTGAATCATTGCTCTTCTGTTTGTGGCCAGACGCCCTTGTCTCCTGACCCTGCCCGCTCTTAGCGGTGCTGTGTGCTGCCGCCTGGCCAGTCTTCATGATGGGCCCCCTCTCCCTCCCCTCTCCCTCCCTCCGCTCTCCCTCCCGCCTTTCTTAAGGGGTTATTGTGTGTCAGTGCTCCACCAGGTGCTGAGAAAGCGGAAAAGGAAACCAGGCCCTGCCCTCAGCGGAACTCGCCGCTAACTTGGGAAGCCCAGAAAGAAGGGTATTGTGTGAGTTGTCCTGCAGTGGAGCGGTGGGTGGAATGTCCGGGGAGCATTGGGCAAGGGTGTGCTGCTGAGCGGAGCCGGCAGGACCCTTCCTGCAGCGGGAGTGCCCGAGGGGAAGTAAAACGGTCAAGGCAAGCGAAACAGTAGCAAACACCTTCTGTCTGTTTTGCTTGAGGGAAAGTTTTCTTCTGTCCATCTATTCCCTTGACTTCATTGCCAAAGGCAACCTTCCAGAATGTCTCTGTTCCTGTATAGACATACTGTATAATTTTAGAATACAAATAGGATCATACTATGCATATTATTCTCAACCTTGCCTTTTTTACTTTAACACTAGATCATGGGCTTACTTCCATTATCATTCTGTATAGGAATACTTCAGTTTTAAGGACCACTGTAATCACTTCTCAGCCTTTTGGCTAAGATCATGTGTAGGACCGCTATATATGATTCCATTGTTTAGGTGTATCTTACAGGCAGATCTATTTTCAACAGTAGCAGGGGGGAATGCATATTATTGTGTCCACACATCCTTTCAGGTGTGTTTGCACATAAATGTGTGAATATATCTGTAGAATTAATAACAGCAGAGAAATGACTAGAAGAATAAGCACACTTTAAATGTTGATCAGTCAATCAGTCAGTTCAGTCACTCAGCCCTGTCTGACTCTTTGTGACCCCATGGACTTGCGTGTTGATAGATATTAACGAATTGCTCTTTCAAAAAGACTGTACCAGTTTATAGTTCCACCAATAACATTTTGGTTATTCTGGTTCTCCATGCCTTCAGTAACCCTGAGTACTTGAATTTTTGCTCACTTGGAAGGTTGATAGTTCTGTCCATTGCTCCCAGAATACAAATATAAATCCTGTTTGAACTGTGATTGATCACCCTGACTTTTTAGATTGTTTTTGGCATGTATTCATTCAGTGGGTATTTACTGAGTGCCTGTTTGTTCCAGGCAGTGTTCTTGGTACTTGAGATATGTCAGTCAACAAAGCAGACAAAAATCCATGCCACTGGGGAGTTTACATTGCAGTAGGTCTTGCTGTCTGGAAGCAAGATTTGTCTTTCTAGTAAAATTTTAAATCTTTTTTTATACAGGTCCTTTACAAGTCTTGCAAAATTTTTTCTTAGGTGTTTTATCATTCTTACACTCCGATAAAGGAATTTGTGCTTTCTGACATTTTAGTTCCTAACTGATTACTTTTGTATGAAGACATATTGTTGGTTTTTATGTATAAACTTGTAATACTCTGAGTTCTGTAATTATTTGACTTTTTTTAAGTTGATTCTCTTGTGTCTTCTAGATATACAGTGATACCTGCAAATGCTAATTTTTCTTTTTCCCAGCACTTGAACCTTTTATTATCTTTTATCTAATTGCCTTGGCAGCTGCTTCCAGAACAATGTTAAATGACCATCATTTAATGTCGTTAAGTGTTAAAAGAGAAGAGCGGGTGTTGTGTAGTCAGGGAAAGGGGGAAGTTAGGTTTCCCCCTCCCTCAGCTTACCTCTGGTTCTCTGGAGGACAGAGACTCAGGCAAGTGAGCATTACATGTGATACAGGGAGGGGATGGGCCAAGAATGATGAATTTTGGGGTTTCTGGTTCCATCTAGAAGGAGCAGCAAATTCAGAGGTCAGAGGGACAAGAGAGCATGGCAGCTTCAGGAACTGAGGGAGACGCAGAAGGTGGAGCCTTCCGAGGGCCCAGATCGCCAAACCCCTGGCATCTTACGGGAGGTGCTGGAATGTTACCTATGGATGATGGGAGATCACCAGAGCACCTCCACAGGAGTCATGTGGTGAGATTGCATTTGGGTCATTCTGACAGCAGTGTGGAGGGTGGTTCTGTTGTAGGAGGACAAGGCCAAAGGCAGGAGACTGTTTCAGGAACGCAGGTGAGAATTAATGGAGGATAAATGTGAGCGATGGGGCTTCCCTGGTGGCTCAGTTGGCAAAGAATCTGCCTGTAATGCTGGAGACTGCCTGCAAGACAGGACACCTGAGTTTGATCCCTGGGTCAGGAAGTTCCCTGGAGAGGGAAATGGCAACACAGTCTAGTATTCTTGCCTGGAAAATATCATGGACAGAAGAGCCTGGCAGACTACAGTCCATAGAGTCGCAAAGAGTTTGTCATGTGAGTGTATGCTCCTCGTTTCTTTGTCTCGTCACAACAAAAATTTGGAGTGAAGGACATTGAAGCCCCCTCGGCGGGTCGCAGCTCTCGGAGGACAGACTGTGTTATAGCTCTTAAATAAATCAGTGTTACAGCTCTGTTTATTTAGATAATAGCAGGAAAATCCATCTTCGAGGTGTGAGGGAGGGCACTTCGATCCAAAGATGGGAAGAGAAGAGCGCCTCATCGTGTGGGGAAGAGAGAGAGAGCGAGCTTTGGCTCCTCTTTTTATATGTTTCTCTGTCCCTGGGCCTGTCTTATGTAAATTGGGCCAGCCAGGAGTGTTGTTTGTTTTACCTGAGGTTCTCACTCAGGTCCTCGGACCTTGCTTTGTTCTATTTTCGCGGGCTTTCCCTTCCAGGTCTTTTAGCCACCGCCATTTTGGACTCCTTTTCCCTATTCTAACTACCTAACAAGTTGGACACAACTTAGTGACTAAACCACCACCCAAATGTGAGTGATACCAGGGACCACTGACCGTGCTAACTGGAAGGAGTTTAGGAAGAGTGAGGAGCATGGTGTTGTTTATCTAGATAGGGAGTGCGGGTGCATGGGCATCATGGGCCGGGGTGGCATTGGAGCCCAAACATGGTCTGGCGGCAGGGCCTTCCACAGTCCAGCGCCAGGCCTCCTTTCTGGCTTTATTTCCTTCTGTTCCCTTTTGGGGAGCACTAGGTTTCTGGCTCCACAACTTTGTCCTTCATGTATTTGCTCTGTGCTTTTCCTTCCCTGTGCCCTTGTGACCGTTAGTCCTTTCACTGTACACCGTTCTTCGCCATCACCTCTGGTCTTATGCATTTTATTCAGTGTGCCTGGCCATGTACCCCTTTCTCCATGAGATTTTTCCTGGACCCCTTACAAAAAGTAATCTTTCCTTCTTATAAATCTTAAAGCATAATATCTGTTTCTTTCCTATCATGTAACATGCACAGAAGTACAATTTCCTGTAAACTTTTAAGTTTTTTAAGGGAATTTCTGAGTTATCTTGGTATTCCTTATAATACCTAGAACAATTTAATTCAGGTAGGAAGCCCTTTATATGTAAAGAAGGAAGGAGGGAGAGAGGAGGATGGAATTTCCAGGACTTGAACCATCCAAAGCTCAC